TATGTACAAAATTTCTGATAAGAATGTTCTTATAAAATAAAGAAAGTAAAAGAAAAAAATTTCCAAAATATTTATGAAACATTTTGAATGATATGTGTACATTCGAGGTATTGATTGATGGGTGATATAACAAGTTATATAATATGATTGAAAATTAATGAAGAGAATTATGATTCAGTATAGAGTTTTTCATCTTAAATAATTGCTTTACTTTATTTGAGTTTACCATTTCATCTATGAAGTTTTGAGTGCAAGTTTCAGCTATGCACATATGTATTTTGTAGAAATAATTCTATAAAAATATTAAGTGCCTACAAGTCATTTTGTAACTATTGAAGATTTTGATTTTTTAAAGTGATTCTGATAGTTTAAAAGAAAATGAAATATTTAATTAAATTATGTTAAATAATTCATAAATTTTTATTGAAAGCTATCAAAAATTGGCAACTCAGATATAACCTATCCCCAATATATAATTGATGCATCCTTCAAAGAACATATTCGCAATTACAAATTACGTAAAAAAGAAAAAACAAAAATCGATTAATATTTTCTTTTACATTAATATAGTAGAAAGAGCGTGCAACATTAAGGCTGCTGTTCGAGATAAAAAAAAATTTAGGAATTAAAAGAAAAAATGAAATTGGAAAATTTTCTAAATATGCCAGGATGTCGCAAGAAAAAAAAACACAAAAAACCGGAATAAGAGTTTTGACATATAACATATAGCATAGCAATTATAAAATTATACCAAACACCACATAGAAATCCTCCACTCATCTATAAAAAACTTAACGATTATTTAAAATAAGAAAGGAAAACAAAAAAAAACCAATAAAGAAAAAAAACCAAAAAACAAAAGTTAATTCCGACCTTTTATTTTAATGTGGGAGCAATATTAAAGCATTCATAGCATTTTTAAATAAATTTAAAGCTTCAATTTCTTTGTCTTTTTAAAATAATTTGATACAATGATATAATAAAGGCTATAACAATTATTATTGACCTTCTATATATAAAATTTATTTATCCCAATGTTATAAAAAGATTTTTTTAGACATTTTATTTGTAGCCCACAGTAAATTAGGAGAATTTTATGTATTCATAAATTTTTATATAACATTGACTAACATGATACAGGCTGTATAAATTGTAGACTATGTGTAAATAGATAAATAAAATTCTTATACATTAATTACCGACCACTTTACATATAATACGAGAAGTTATGTGATGGTACTTAATTTCGGATATCAAATTTTCAGTGGAATTTCACTTCTTTGTGCTACGGAAGCGTAAAAAACTATTTCTGGAGAGATGTCTGTCTTTCTGTCGCTTTGTGTGTCAGTCTGTCTGACAGTATATCTGTACAATTGTGCTCATGTGCATAGACATAAAATTTTCACTAGAAATTAAATTTTCACTAGAGGCCGATTTTATATTGTTTTCCATGTCTGATGAACTAATCCATCTAATTGCTTGAAACATCATATTTTAAGATGCTACCAAAACCAATTAACGATTTTTTTCCAGAGAATGTACGAATGGCATGAAGTGAACTAAGAGCCGAATTTATATTTTTCTAGGTATGTTAAGAAGGAAGTGTTTAAAGAGCGTTTTCATAATCTTGTGCACAGTTTTTTCAAAATTTGACAACCATTTTTTTGCTAATACATAAATAAAACATATCTAATTAAATATAATTATTTAAATATATTTTATATATTGGCAAATACCTTAAATAAATGAAAACTTATAACAGTTTCTTCCTGTTAAATTTTCTTTAAAGTTTTGAAAATATGAATGCAAACCAAAATCTCATAATGTTATAGTATTATGTTCAGAAAAAGTAAAAATTGAATTGAACTAGAGAAAAATCACAATAAAAGATTAAATCACAACTGAGTAACCGAAAAACAGACAACAACAACAAAATCAAGAAAAACATCGCCCAGAATTGTAATCATAGAATAAATTCAAATTATATCCATCTCTATATTATATATATACATACATACATACAAATATATAAACAAGAAATAAATATGTATTGTATACTATAGAGAATATAAAAATTTCCGTCATAAAAATATTAACGTACTAAAAGTAACCGTAGAATTGAAAATCCTTATTTTAAATAATCATTGTTTAATAAAAGTTGTAAGTATTTTAAAAATATCTTGTCAACAAGCAAATTTTATTTTTATTTTATATTATTTTCTGCATAGAATTAGAGCTCTTACTTTTATAAAAAGGTACTTGTTCTATGAAAATACTAAGATTTTTTCACAGATACACAAATATTCCTAAAAGCAGGAGAAAAAAATATAGAAAGAGAATTATTATTTAGTACAAAAGGCCTACACATATAAAGTTAAAAAGAGAAAAACAAAATCTTGAAGCATGTTCTTGTTTAGTTTTAGTACTAAAAATGTGAGAAAATTGTGTAATTTCATTAAAAGTGTTCTCATATTCGATGTTTTTCATAACAATATAAAAAACAGCGCGGTCCTGCGCTAAAGAGCTCTCAATATTAATGTTGAAAAAAAAAATGGAATTATTATTTTTTTTTTTTGAAATTTCAACGTGGATAAAGACTTTTTTTTCTAGGATTGAAAAATCATCCAGAACGCTAGATAACAAGAATAGAAAATTTGTGATTTAAATTGAGGCGTATTAAAAAAAAATAACGGTTGCGAGAGAGTTTTAAAAAATATCCGATGGAAAAAAATAAAAGTGAGTTGAAATTTTTTTCGTATTACATCGTCTTTCGGGAAATCGCTTTTTAAAGTTAATCATGTATACTATGGTGTATTTGTGTGTGTTATACCGATTTGTTGTTCTTGTAAAATTGTGGTGCACAAGAAAATTTAGGTTGACAGCCTAAAAAACAAAAAAAAAAACAAAAATAATAGTAAAAACATATGGATTTACAAAAAAAGTATTATGTATGTACAATTATATTTTTCCAATTTTATTGTAATTGCTTGTAACTTTGGAACTCTACTACGTATACTTTGATGTGTGTAAAAGTACCAATATGATTGTGTGCGTACGTGTAAGATTATTTACATTTTTATAAAATCTAAAAAATGAAATGAATAATATTTCATAGATTTAGTACACAGATAGACTTACATTACATATTTTAAGAGGGTTCTGTGGATTAACAAATTATTTTTGCAAAAACTTAATGAAATATAAGAAACCTAAACTCTAAGATATTCCAAAACTTTAATATTTAAAAAACAAATTTAGGAACAAAAAACTAAAAATTTTCAAAGAAATTTACAACCTGTCGTTTGCTATATGAAAAACTCTGTGTACGGAAAATGTGAGAAATCCAATTTTTGATTTTTTTTTTGCATATTATCGTTAGTTCCGTTTTCATTTCATAGTCTCACAGAAATAAGTTTTCTCTGACTCTCTTCTCTCTCAAAAAATACATGAAAAGCAAAAAAAAAGAAAACATACAAAATTTCTTTTTTCTAACTCGCAAAATCAAAAGTAACGTAGAATTAAGATTGCAAAAATTCTCCTAGAGATGAAAATTAGTCTTGTTCCGGCGGTGAAAATGTAAACAGCAAATTGCTTCTTTTGGAAATAGTATCGGAGTTTAGGAATTGATTTATTTTAAAAAATTTAAAATATTAAAATAAAAAAAAACGAAAACAAAGACAAAAAGGAAATAAAAATTTTTCCAAAATTATAGTTGTTTTTCATTTCTTCTATATTTTTAACATTTGAAATTAATTGAATACTTTACGAATAAGTTTGAACTTATTTTATTATAAAGAAGTTAATCTTCAACAAAGTAAAAGTTAAAAAACAAAAACAGTATTACAATTAAGAATAAAATATAAAAAAAAATTTACAAGAAAAAATATTAAAAAGTTTGGAGTTGCTTATGAAAAACATTATTTAAAAAATAATTTCTAGTGTCAATATTGCACAGGAAAGTTAACATTTAAGGCTTGCCATCCGTGTATAAGTTTTTATTTAAGAAACAAAAAAAAGGAAACCAAAAAAGATAATTTTGAATTTCATCTTATTTTTTAAATTTTAAGTATACATGAAAATGCAAATTTTAATTGTACAAGGTAACCGAACAAAAAATTTCAAATAAGTGCGGAAATAAACTAAAGCAACTATACTTTGAAAAACAGTTCTTTTTTATTAAAAATTATAAAACCTAACATTTTGTAATTGGGAATTATTTTTATTATAGAATATGGATGGCTTTGTTGTCAAAGACTAAGAAAATAAAAAGTTGTGTAAAATTTCAATAATAAAAATGTGTTTTTTAATAAATAATTGATGCCAAAAATAACAATTGAATAATATGGAATCTGTGAAGAATTATATATATATATAGATATTCATTTAACATCATTGTTTTGTACACAAACATAACATAATAAGAACATAAATAAGAACTTTTTGTGTGATGTTCACTTTGTATGCTTAAAACCCGTACTATTTATCGTATAAAATGAAAATTTAAGCCAGAACATTTATACATATATATACATATAAATGTCATCATACATAACTTAACTCTCAATAAATTCTAACTTATTCGGTTGTTACAAAAGAAACAAAGGATCAATAATGTAAAAATTTATATAAATAACAGAAAGAATAAAAGAAAAATCATTAAACTATAATAATTTCTAATAATATTAAAACTAAGGAAAAAGGACAAAATATAAATTTAGTTTTACACATACATATATATTATATACATAAATATTTTCAAAAAGAAAAAAAAAAACAAAATTTCTCGTACTTGTTTTTAGAAAAAAATATCAAAAGAAAATTTTAAAAAAGCATAAAATAAAATAAATAGAAAATTTTTTTTTGTTTCGTACTTAATTTTCTTCTTGTATTGTATTTAATGAATCGTTTTTTTTAAACATGTACCCATAATTCAGATTAATATAATATTCTAAATAAGTTAAAAAAAGAATATAATAAGAAATAAAATAATACAATAATAATATACATAAAGGACATATGTGACAATATAAGTACATAAAAATTACAACATAAGAGAAAATTTATATAGACGATATTCTACAGATTTATACACATTTTTTTGTTTTCTTTTTTTATTACTATTTGGCAAAAAAAAGGACTATATTGAAAGGACATATATTTTAATTAATATCCTTTTTTTTTTCTTTATCTTTTTATTTTATTTAACTACACATATTATCTATTTCTGTATATTTCAAAAGGAGGAAAATTTGTTAAGAGAATTGATTTGAAATGTTTCCAAATAAATTTCATCTAGCCTTGTTGGCTTTTCTTGGACTTGGAACGGGTAAGTAAAATCATTATTTTATATATTATAGAATATTGAATAAAAAAAATCTATAATACCAATTAAATTTAGAATATTTTTTATTCTTGTTTTGTTAAAAGATATTTTTATAATTTTGTTTATATAAGTATATTAGAGAAAACCCGTATCCCCCAACATTATCTAAATAAAAGGAAATATTTTTAAAAAATGATTTAAAACTAATAATAGCATATTATCTATTTTCTTTTTTAACATCCCCTTTCGACATATTATGTAAATCCTTTGTGATTTTAAAAATATTTTCGTTTCTGCTAGATATTTTCAAGAACAAAAGAAAGAACAATATAAGAAAATTTGTTTATATTTTTTCTTTAATTTTTATTTAAGGATTTAAAACACTGATTTATTTATATTTAGGTCTTTTTATATCTTAAATATATTTCTTTGAAAATAAAAATTCTTATATAATATATGCACGTATGTTATAGCGCCCCATAAATTTTAAGCTGTACAAGAATAAAATAGAAAAAAAAAATCGAAAAATAAACAAAAAAATTTTTTTTTTGGGAGAAAAATTCTTTTTTAAGTGAAATTAATGTTAAGATGTTCTTCAAAATTTCTATGGCAATGACAAGGATTTGATGTGTAACTTGAAATGGTACTTAAATAGGTACTTTTTTTCTAAGTTTTTGCGAATAGATTTTTCCCACCTTTTAAGAAAACAAAAGGGCAAAATGGAAGCTAATATGAGAAACCTATCAGAAGACGAATAAAAAATAACAAAACAAAAAAAAAAGAAGAGGAACGCGTGTTTTTTTATGATATTATTTTTATATTTTTTATTATTTCCTTTTTTCTTGTTTTTCCTTTATTTTGCTAAAGTGAACTTAAATGCTGCAAACCTTGTCTTTCAGTTACAAAATACATATATGAAACACAAATATTTTTTAAACAAAAACACGAAAAATAATAAAAAACCGAAATATGTATGTATGTATATATATTTTTTTTGGGGTAGGTATATAAAATTATTTCTTTTTTTTTGGGACAACATTTCAAATTGAGTTACATTAAGGCAAATAGAATAATAAATTTTTAGTAGTGGCTCCTATATATACGCCAAAAAAATATATATATATATATGCATATATACGTTTGTAATCTAGAAGTTTATACAAGCAAAAAGATACTTGTATGTATGCATGTAACTATATGCTTGGTAAATACATACATATATTCAGTGTAGTGATAAATGCTGTTTAAAGTATCGTGAAGAGTACGGTAAAGTATCATCAAAGTCATTTGTTTTAATATAAATTGATATGTTTTAAGGGATTTAAAGGATAGTTTATATTGTCTGTGATCTGAATTTGAAATAAAACATTATTTCCGTCTGATATTTTAAGGTTCTACGTCTTTTATATAATTTTACGTTATGCATATATAGGTAGGTGTCTACTTTGTTTATTTCTTTTGGTTTTTATAAAAGTTTTGTATCTTACACGAAGTACATTATTATATTGATTTTCTCATTGTTTTCTAAATAAAAATATAAAACGTAGACCCGTATAATACACAAAGTGATAAAGATCTTACTTGTGTGCTAAAAGATAGGGTAAAACATTGTAAATGTATAAAATATAAAAAAAAGGAAAATAAAAAATGTGAAGCAATATACGCAAAACCATAATAAAAAATAATAAGTATCACTTTTTTATTAATTTTTTTTTGCAAATATTTTTAAAACATTGTTCGAAAAATAACTGAAAATGTCACTAAAGTAAACAGTTTTGAAAATACGTTAACATGTATGTAAATGTAGGTATATTTTAATATTTTAAATAAATCTAACAATATATGTTTACATATTTTTTTATAAATAAATATGTTATATATACGAGATGCATTATGTTCTTAAATTTATTTTCCAAAAGAAAGAAAAGGATTGTGAAACATGAAAATAAATAAAATAGAATCAACTTTAATGTTTTATGAATAAAAGAGAATAAATTCCGATGTAACCAATTGTTTGAATAGTAGCAGATTTCTCTTGAACAAGCGAAATATTGTTTTTTTTAAGAAAATTTTATTACTTAAAGCTTTCTCATTGGTATACCATTCTCACGAGGATGTGAACAAAAGCTAGCAAAAGAAACGTGAATGTATCAGTTAGAAAGGCTGAGTAAGCAAACTCTTATAAGCAAAATTTTTTTCAATTTTGCTGAAAACGTGTTAAAAGAAGCGTTTAATATAACAAAAGCAAACACTATTTATTTATTAAACAGAAAGCATGCATACTATTATTTTACTTATCATACATAATATAACTGTATACTTATATAAGTAAGTATTACAATTTGGCAATAAGTATTTTAATTTCTAACTAAAATCATTTGTGGAAAAAGCTGAAATACACCAAAAATTTGAAAATTAATTCAGAATTTTCAAAAATATATATAAATTATTCTATAATCCCTTTAAGTTACCATACATATTATTTTCGATTATAATATTAGCTTTAATTTAATTTAAGGTCTAAAATAACAACAGGTCGAATTTTAACTTCAATTAAATTAGAATTTAAACTGATAGAGGCAGTATAAAAAGATTATTCTACGTTTTTTATGTCAACGTAATGTAAAGTAGTTGTTTCCAACAATTGGGATATTATAAATCCATAATGACTTACAAATTTGCATAATAACGACGATTGAAATAGTGTATGTACGAGTACTTACGTTATAATGTTTATTTCTTGTGTAATTACATTATTCTGTACGTTTAATAATTTTTTTTGTTAAATTAAGTCCTTAATGAGTTTACCTTAATTTTAAGTTTGTAGACACGCGAATGGCATAAACTGGACCTATTTCAACAATAATAGCATGGAGCGACGGTAACAATAAGAGAATTGTACAATTTATTCGCCCCCCTATTAGAAAAATTTAAGCACTAAACATTTAGAACTGCAAATATCATAAACTGACGTCCGACTTTATGTGCGCTAGAAAAACCTTATCCAGCCAGTCTAAGATTGTAATCGTTAAAGATATCTTAGTCATTTTCTAACGATCATTGTTAGGTCTAATCTAATATGGCCTCAAAAATTTGTCTTAACAATTATGTGATAACCATTAAATAAGCATTTTGCTTTAGTCCTTGGGTATAAATTTCTCCAATATATACATACATGACCAACAAGTCTGTCCAATATAAAACTTAGTAGTCATTATCTAAAAATGTTCGTAAACAAAATTGTATAACCCTATATCGCATTATAATTATACCTATATATATGTATATATAGAGCATACACAGCAACATAATATTATTAAAGTTTTCATGCCACTGAATGACAATTACATGCGTAAATTTTAATTTTAATTTTTTTTAACATGCGATACTAAAAATTAGAATTAATATTATTTTTAAATTAGTAAAGTAGCAATTTTTATTTTGTTTTTAATTTTGTTATTTTTTTTGCTTTGTCGAAGTTTCTTCTTTGTACAAGGTTGGTAGATAAATTTAAATTTGCAAAATAAATTTAATAAAAAGAAATACAAAAACATAAAGCCGAAAATATTTATTTAGAACTTTCTTTTTGTTTTTTTGGAAATGGTTTTGTTTTTGTAATTTCATTTCAAATTCGCTTTTATTCAAGTACATTATTGCTCCTTACTTTTGTTTGTACTTTTATTTATTTTTTTTTTCAGTTTTGTCTTTTGTTTTACCCTGTAGGTTCCTGTTAAAATTTATATCCCAAGTAATTGGGCAAAATGTTTTCATTTATGTTTCTTTTTTTTTTCTCTATAACTTGTTTTCGTTTTTTCTCTCATTTTTACTTAAAAATTTGTTACTTTATTCAACTATATATGCATACAATTAAGTACGTAAGAAGGATGAATACATACACACTTACGGATGATGCCTGAATATGTAAAGAATACGTATAGGTATATAAATTGTACAAAATTCAAAGATACAAGAAAAATCCTTAAGGGATTTTTGTATTAACTTCGGATTGGGTCCTTTCAAAAGCCGTTTTTGTATTTTCTTTTATGTTTTATTCATTTTTGTGTTGAACTTTTCTCTTGTTTTTTTTTTATTTTTTTTTTGGTTTTCATTTTGCTTTCCGTTTTTCTTGTGTTCAGTTTTTTTTTCTATTTACTTATATTTTCTCTTTTTTTTTTTTTAAAAAAAACTTCTTTTTATTAAAGGTCAAAATTTATTGTATTATTATTTTGTTTGATTTTATTTTAATATACTTATATTTATTAAGTGCATGTGTATATTATGTATTTAAATGTAGGTATATATAAAAATTTTAGTTAGCTGTATTGAAAACTGATAGCGTTATTTGCGAATTGAATTTTTTGCAGTTGAAAAGAGATGAAAAAAGGTTTTCTGTTTTGCTTATTTGTATTTTTTTCTTTTGTAAATATTTATATTGAAATAAAAATCGTTTTATTAAGAAAAGAAAAATTTAATTTATTTTTTTCTTTCGTTTTCTCTTAAAGAAGTATGATTACACACATATGTATATGTATATACAAAAGTATCTAAATGTGGAATTTTGTTTTTACTTTAAAAATGAGGAGAAATCAAGAGGAAATAATTTTCGCTTTCGTTTGGGCCACACAATTTCATTTTGTCCAATTTTGTTTTGGGTATAAAATGCTAATTTGAAAAAAAAATTATTTTTAATATAGGAAATTAAAAAAAAGCCGATGTGGGAAGCACATAACCTCCAGAATTTATTAAAGATCATCGAAATTTCCTTTAAACACTAATTTCAATTCTATGAAAGATAGAGATAAATTTTTTAGTTAATGTGCCTAGAGAAATATTAATCACTATTTTAGTAACTAAAGTTAAAATATTAAACTTCAATACAATGTAAACTCAGCCCGTAGTTAGAATCCAGTTGCTAACATCTGATTTTCTTGAAAAATTTCAAGAAATATATTAAATATTGGCTTAATAATGATTAAGAATGCAAAGTCGGTATGTATTAAAGG